CCTTGCAACCTTGCCAACGAAATGTAGGAAACATGCCGTAAGTTTCTTATCGTCCATATGTCGAATCGTTCCAAATAATCCTCCACGTCTCGCGCAGTTGAATTAACATCTAATGGTTCCATTTCGGCAGGCATGATGAATCGTTCCAGTCGCGAAGCCAAAATGTGAGAATTGAGTTTCGTACGTAGATGGTTTAACCAGACGAACTAGAAATCCAGAATTCATCGAAGCGTAACAACCAGCACGTATGTATTTGAATTGGCGAATATGTACAGCATATGGAATATTAACACAAGAGAATAATGAATAGAGCAACGAATAGAATATCAGTCAAGTTCATCACAGTAAGCTCAAACAAATTTTGGTAAAATGGTTACTGTTTAAGGACACTTTGAGTTTTCGTATAAACTGCGTCAAACCAGAATCTTTATGCGAAATTTTCCTCGGTTCACACAATGATTTCAGAAAATTTTGGAGTGCTTCAAAGAATGGGTTTATGTGAGTCTTCGTGCTGACCGGCTTAGTGCTTCGCACTGGGAAATTAGAAGGTGGTGCTACATCGTTTTTGGATTGTCCTGCCAAACGATAAGAACATGCCCGACTGAGAAGGTTTGAGTGAAAACCTCTGTCCTGCGCATCGATCGAGAATCCGTGCTTAAACTGAATGGTTATGACCCCACCGACGACCACCGATTATTAATTTTATTGATCCGAAGTTCCACTGTGGATCAAAAAAAGCTTAATATGTTACTGAATTCACTGGAAACCCTTGAAACCTTTACATTTACTCCGTTGAATCTATTGAACTAGTTGAACTATGTGGGCCAGGCTATAGAATATGAGGCGGATTTTCAAATCATTTCATTTGCGTTTGATGGTTATCGCTTGCGCATGATTGCGTTGCTCCCCGTTCTCCTGTGGGCTCTTCTCCCGCTCACATTTGGGGGTGATTTTTCAAAATTGGATAATGTTGTCTATTTGACTGCGCAAAATTTTACTGAAATCACTGATGGCGGCCGTTGGCTTGTGCTTTTTTATTTCCACTCATGTGGAGGCTGCACCCGGTATCAGCCGTTCTTCAGCAATTTCTCCATATATCTGAAAGGTTAGTGTTTCTGGACTGCGAGACCTCACATCTTAGATTGGAATCCTTTGTTGAAGGTTGGGGCTCTTGATTGTGAATTGCCGGAAAACGATGGAACTTGTTCGTCATTCACGGTTGTAGGAGTGCCTGATTTGCGGGTAAGTGATTCCAGATAATATTACAACGGTTTTAGTACCTTCCTGCAGGAAGGTCTGTGAATGACACTGGAATAGTTATTGGTGATGAGAAAGAGTCTTTCATCGGCCTTCGGAATAAGCTCCTGAATTTTCTAAAACGTGAGATATCTCTTGATGGTTCCAGGTAAGTTCACCTTCTTGCATCTATTAAAGGTTAAGTGAACACTCCAAAAAACTACTCACCATAATTTCAAACATTGAACAACCAGTCTCGTTGGAGCGAGAACATGATGTAAGTCTGCACTCCACTTTGGTTTGTCGTCCATGATACTAACGATAATGCCCTTGATTATTTGGCGTTATGGGTGGTCAGATTACTATTCAACTTCACGTGGTTTGTTACCTGGTAGTATCGTTGCATTTCCGTCTGCTAGGGTCCAGTGTTTTACCTGGTAGTATTAGTTGTAGTAGTAGTTGTAGTAGTAGTAGTTGCATTTCCGTCTGCTAGGGTCCAGTGTATCCGTGGGCGAGACCGACGTCCTCCTACATGCTTAGTTCGACGCACTGTAGTTATTGCTTCAGTAGAGCCGGACTTGGATTTCGGGTGTGTGGAGCTTCAGGGATTGATATTCGCAGCTTATTTTAACACATTATTAAGTGCTAACTTGAAACAACTTTCGTTTTTTGACCACATCCATAGGTTCTCCTAAGTGTGAGATTTTCGCCTGGACAAAAAGCGATCCCGGCTTAGAATGATAGGCGACTCGGGGATGGAAAATCGGATCTGTACACAGCCAGCTATATTCACGGATGAGGTTGTGTATTTCTGGTGCCATCTGCATACGCTCCGCTAGAGAATCCTCTCTGTCAAATGTAGGAAATTACGGTGGGGAGACTGTATGATGGATGATACCAGCCTCTGCACTACTTCTGAAATCTAGCTTGCCCATAGCATGTGGTACCTTTTGTCGCCGAACTTTCTTCATGATTACGCGTTTTAATGCACTGCAGGTCGAGGCACCCTCATGAGCACTAGATATCTCTTGGTGATGTTAGTTGTTGCTAGCAGACGCAAGTGAAAATACTGCAGGAATTACTTCTGGTTGGTTTTTGAACTAAGATGGCTATCTCATTAGCTAGGTTTGTAACCTAGGTAAGGGTGAGTAGCATCATCAGGAGCATTGACCGGTCATCCTATAATAAAGTTATGGGTAATCCTTGGACTAACGCCTAAAGGATTCGTCCGTCGTTCGGATGAACCAAAAGTGCGATTCCGCAATACTGGACCATAATTTAACTTCATTTACTTTTACAACCAGTCTACAATAACCTAAAAGTTCGCCTCCCAAGCCAATTGAAAGAAAGAAAGAAAGAAAGCCTTCAGCTGTAGCACCCTTTCGGTGCCTAGCTGCCATGCCACCCGAAGGAAGCACGAGGGCTGGGATACTGCCAGGTTGCCCAAGCTTAGACAGGGGAAGTCGAGTGGCGGAGGTCGGATTCGAACCACAGACCTTCCGGTCAGTAAATTCGCGCTCTAACCACTTGGGCCATCTCACCCAAGCCAATTGGGCTGCTGAGAAGCTTTATAAAAGCACTTTAATTAACCAGTTTTGTTAGAGATATCCGAGAAACTGTTCACTTTGCTGACAATGTTATCGACGTGACAATCAACGTCTACTGCCTGTCTACTTTGCGTTGTCACGAAGTTGGTTACCAGTGAACAATGTTGATAAAGCGTTACTGAGCCTCGACAAGTGAAGTGGTTGCCACACTGTGCCCATGTAACATACGCTTGCCTTGCTTCTAAACGAGTTAGGAAACAATAGAATGTCCGGTGGTCAATTCAACAGATGACTATAGTTACCACACAATGATTTAGCCATGGTCAACTTGCAGTCCCTAGGCACAGTGCCTGTAAATTTCAGGTATTGAGTACATACAAACAACTTGGACATAGGTATTCGTGGATGTTTGACTGTTGTGAAAGGGCCGATGACTTTTTTGGTTAATTTTTGTTGGAAAACACAAGAACAAGGGCAGCGCTTTATGGATTTTCTGTTCACTGCTCAGGATTATATCGAAACAACATAGTGGGACGGAGATTAGTTATATTTGTATTCTGATAAAATTAAGATGACGCAGTTAGCCAGGAGAGTGACATTTGACTGCTTCCCTCCACAACCTTATTCTCTATGAGAACCGAGAGCTGATCAGGACGGTTAAATTGACCATCGATGTAGCTGTAAGCTCCTTAGTTCTGTGCTTTGACGCGGTTTCAAAATAGCCTCGAGGTATCAAATTCCGACTTCCATAGCAAATTTGCTTTTATTCTTTTGGTAGTTACTGTCATCCATAACAGACCAGTAAATAAAATGTGCTTTTTGTCTTGCGTCGAGGCGTAGTTTTGAGTATCATCCCATTCACTGCGGCTGGCGAATGATTGTGGCAAAATCATGATGAACTAAATCATACCTGACTGCCCCTTGAAAAATTTCCATTTGTTACTGAGATGCATTGAACCATTCGCCACAAGTCTATGGCTTGAACCGCGGAGAATGATCCCGGTACTCATGGAATATGAGGATATATCCGCCCACTGGCTTTTAATCAAATGAATTTGTGTGTGGATTCTCCAACTGTCTCTGGTGTATGAAGATCGCGTAACTTGAATTGGTGAGTTGTTATCTAATGGCTGAGTAGATAGAATTCCCAGACAGAGCACTCGCTGGCTTTCGAATATACTTGGGAGTTTTCGGATTTTTTGAGACTTTTGCGGATCCGTATCACAATTCATCAGTCTTTCGGTAGACACAGGCGAGATGGTTCAGTAGTCGGAACGCGAATTTACTGACCGGAAGGTTCGTGGTTCGAATCCGACTTCCGCCTCCTCGATTTCCCTGTGTAGGCTTGGGCAACCTGGCCTCGTGCCTACTTTGGTGGCGTGGCATCTAGGCACTAAAAGGGCGTTACAGCTGCAAGACAATCTGCTATCTATCTTTCGGTAGACATATGGAACAGAGCTGTTGTGTCGAAGATTGTCCATAACCTTTATGAGATAAAATCCACGATTTTTGTCATACAGACTACCGTAGGGCAATCTACTATTCAAATGGACGCCAATCTGATGATTCTTGTGGCATGACAACAAGTGTGAGAGCCGGTCAGTCGAGCAGAACACCGTAAGATGACGTTACACAGGGTTTTCTCGGCCTCTCAGGTCATAAAACCAGCTGTCCTACTGCTCCAGTCACCAGGTATAGTTTGTACCTTTTTTCGGGATATTTTAAAGCTTGGGATATTTCCATGCATTCATGACCTGGTAGGATCGAGAGTATCCAGAATGCCTTCGAATACGGCTTTAAAAACGAACTCTTCTCTGTAGCAGACTTCGGGTATCTGTACAGGCCACGACAGATCCCCTAGTCATCCCTTTGTAAGGCAGCTGACAGGCGTCGCTTGAATTATGGAGACATCTTTATTGTAGCTCGACAGCTCGAAATATCTATAGTTGAGACACAAGCTCACTGACCAGAAGGTTCATAGTTCATCTCAATTGCTCCTGTCTAGGATTGGGAATCCTGTTACTATCTCAGTTTTCGTGTTTCCCTCGAGTGGCATGGCCGCCACGGACCGAAAGTGTTACAAGTAAACGGTTATTTACGTCCTAGTTTTGTGGGGCCTTTGGGGAGAGTTGGGTGCGTGTTTATCTTAATTTCTAAATGAGGGTTCCGAGCGTGTAAACCACAGCTCCTTGTCCAACCGGAGTGCTGTGCTAAAAGCAACTTGATCCATCCGGGACGTTTTAGCATGATTTCGAGCGCCCGCTGTCTGGTGGCGCACCAATCCTTAAAATGTAATAAGCTGCTCTACCAGGTTCAAAGAATTTATTGACAACGACCCCACATTGAGTTACTTATCCTTATCATGGTGCTAACTGGACACTATTTCGTGGATTTATGGAATAAGAACTAATATTTGTGCTGCTAATGAGGTGAGTATCCTGTCGTCTCACTCACTTTGAACCCAAAGTTAACCCAGCGGACAAGGTGAAGCTATCGACCCGGTGGTCATTGTTCGAACCAGATCCCAACTTTTCGACTATCGCTGCGTATACGTAGATAGCCTGGCTATGTATAAGCAGCATTGTCTCCCTCAAACAACCCGACAAGTACGTGCCAAAGAGGCGCCAAGAACGAGCAGTTCTCTCCATTATCCCCTCACCCTGCTTGGAAGCGAGGTCAGGCGGTTTGAGTCGTTATATGAACATCAGTGGCAATTCTTTCACTCAGTCCCGGACAGGGCGTGCATTAGTGAGTCAGTTGATCTTCGTTAGAGTTGATCGTGTGGGACCGCAATTTCTCACAGTCGAGATGCGTTTCATGAAGATGTTGGTCGTAGAGTTTCATCTCTTGTTACGATGATTTCAAACGGATATGGAGTTGTGCAAGCAACCTGCCTCGTACCCCCATCCTCAGTCTTGTTGCTGTTCCATATTGTGCTGTCCAGTTGTGAGCACGTTTCCAAAGCCATTACTAGTCACCGTGATCCTGGTATCCGTGATGATTCACTTTACTGAAAATCTGAAAAGCCCAGCCGTGTCAAAGGAGCGCAAGAAGCGTCAATCAGCTACCATAAACAGTTGACACAATGAATTCGCTGAACTTTTACTCGCTACTTCTAAGGTGTATTCCACTTTGGGCATTCCTACAGCATCGAAGGGGATGCAGGAGTGACATCCAGAAACTTGTTCTTTCGGCTTTTTTAAGAGCAAACCGTGCGGTTTTACTAGATACTAGTGTAGCCTATTTCACGGCAGTTCGAACTATAGCTCCAGAGGTTAGCTTATTCCACACGTCTTTCACTGTCGCCAGTAGGGTGACTGATAAGATTTTTGTAAGCCACTATTTAGTGGACCTGTATTTTTCTAGCTTGGCCAGGTAAGATGTCGCAAATGGAATAAACATTTCCACTTTGAAAGCTTAAGGCCAAACCCATGTTGAGCACAACGACTATATCATTCTTGTTTTATGTAGCTCAAACATATAAATATTCTAGTCTGATATCTGTTTGTTGGGACTGGCTTTAGCTGCACAAATATCGTTCGGACTACCGTTCGGACTCTCAGTTTCGGCACATTTACCTTATATACACGGAACGAAGACTAACATTTCAGACTCCGTTACTGAGCGTACGAAATTGCTTCCCACCTTCAGCGCAAAGTCCATCTTCGATTGTAAACAAACCACGAGCAGTGAAGCGGAATGGGATAGCTTAAAACTAGTGCTGTCTGAATTCTGGTCCTCAAGCCACCACTTAAACGTATTGCAAATTCCCTAGTCAGCTTTTATACATCTGAAGAAAATGCGTTAAGGTTATTCGCTGCAACAGCTTTGCATATGGTTTGGTGACATCGGTATTCACATTACGGGAAAGTGGCAGATTACTGAGCGTATACATACATTTATTACCACACCTTACAGCTCCATTATATTGTACCCGAGTTCAGACGTTCTCTAGATAGTCCGCAAAGCATAAAAAAATGAACTGATGGTTGGCTACTTCACTCAATTTGCATTTTGAGACAAACAGATCATATGGATGACTTGCGTAGAGCCCTTCTGTTTACGGCTTAGTGCTCCGGTTGTTTAATTTGAACCGATTAGGCCAAGAAAAATATGTCACTGTTGAATGCCGTGCAATTGTTGACATAGAGTTCGTGTAAACGACATCTCCTCTTCATTATCGTCAGTCCAACAACAAATAGGAATCAACGATCCACCAGCATGATCCACATGTGTGATGAAGTCGGAATTTTACTCTGTTTCAGGTTTGCTGAGCAGATTTCTTATCTCGTTTTTACCAAACTTTCACCTATTTTTCCAAAAGAACGAAGCCCATTTAGCTTGACGGAATTCCAAATTGTTCCCACTTCGTGCACTGTTCTCAACACCGCTTCCTTTTCACTTGGGATTTTAGTCCGGTCTCCTGTGAGCTAGTAAACTGCTCGGATGTTGACTAATTTTGGATTTTGGATCCGACTTTGTCTTTCTTGACCTTCCTCAGTCTTAATTATCCCGTGCGCCCAGCTTCTTGATCAAATACTGCTTGCTTGAAACCAGCACACCACCAGTTTTGACCTAGTTTACTCTCGTAGCATAGTCTAATGTCAACGCCCACTAATCCTCAATCATCTGGAGGGTTTGTAAATCCGAGGTAAATAATTTTTGCAACCACACTTTGTTTTACGTATGTTCATGTGTTGCAGCTATAGATCCGTGGAAGTGAACTTGGGAGCTTACGATGTCAGCTCCAATTAAAGCTTATGACTTTGTATCCAATCGACTGCACTCATGCTTCGTGTCTCAGAAGTTTTGTCGTAGAATACCCCCTGCCATTTTCAAAGCCTTTGAATCCTCACCCAAAATCAGAAGCAAACTTCCGAATCGTGAGACCCTAACAATCAACACTATACGATCACCCAAATTTTTGTCTGCGTGTGTCTGGATGTCCTTCGGATAACCTCGTTTCAATTGTTCGCCAGTCCCTCCCCAAATATTCATGTCCAAATTCGTGAGTGGATAGCGCAATGAATAATACTCGTGCCTTCCGAACCGTTTTTCCTCGGCGTTGTCTTTAATTGAATAGGGTGGTGGTAGTCGTTTTCTGGCGTCGGTAGAAAATATGACACCCTAAGTTATCGGGGATTCAGAATCATCAGGCAAATTTGACCGTATTCGAGAGGAAGCCTAAGTATAAAAGAAGCTAATAGACCAGATACGTATAATGTCACAGTCATCTTTAAGGAGTAGTTGTTTCAAGAACGGGAGTTCTGTGATGAAGCCTGAGTGGTCGTTTAAGGTGATCAAGTTTTGCTTATTTTCCGACTTCATAAGGAATCCTGAAACCCGTTCACATCTCTGCTCCGTAATCTAGACGTGAAACATTTAAATCATTTTACAGTAGAAACACGAAAGTTGTGCTTTTGAAAATAAATTGTCAGATAAGTTTGTCGCACGATGATTGTTCATTGGCCCTTAGCATGTGTACACGTTCATCACTATGATTGCTTGCCACGTCAACAAGTACGCAATGTTGGAACATTTCAAAGTCCACTAAGTTTGACCCTTTGCTGAATTGTGAATAAAGACGCGGAAATTAATCTGATTAATATGACAAGCTCAACCGTACATCTCTCCTTGACGGGAAACCGCTACTAACAAGTCGCACTACAGATAAGTAAGAGGGTCCGTTTTAGGTGACCGAAACCCGTAAACGCGGGATACAATATATGCCGAAAATCACAACGGAACTGGTTTTGCGTGAATCAATAGGCAACGAAAGGTACGGGCTTCGCTTGAACATTTCAGAGCTTGTATCTTTGGATGATGTTATGATTCAGGCACCAGCATCTTTATGACAGTGTATTTGATATATATGCCCGGCGGACGTATACTTTGCTTCGTTCACCCATACTGTATGTTTATATTTTTTGTGTTTGAACCTGTATCATGATCATTATTCGTTGCAAATCACTGCGATCCGCAAAAAGGACCGACTCATCTACCGAGACATTGATTTTTAATTGGGAATACAACCTCAGATATGATGGTAGGAGAAAGCCCACCCTTTAAAAACTAATTTAATGCCCACGGCGTTTTCAGCCGAATATTTGCAGTCCGTACACAACAAATGGTTCCCTATGGTTAACCGACAGCCAGATGTCTGCGGACGATAAATGTGTACGCAGTTTTGTCACGTTTATTTTGGCACAACCTCGATTTGCACGTTCTGGATGTTTGTAAATCCACACACTCCTCAGTGCATACTTTTGCCTTCTGCACTTGTCCACAACGCCCCACTGTCCTGGGTCTGAAACTGCGCTGGTTGTCACTGTAGAACAGGGCAGCCATGTAATTTTTCCATGGGATGGATAAAGACGGCTCAGTGATTCTAGTCCAGTTATCATCCAAGTTGGATTTACTCCGGACTGAATAGCATTTCAAAAATTAGGAATCTCATGAAATCGGGTCATTGTTGTATGAACGTAATGCATTACACATAACATCATAAACGAAATATTCATCTGGGTTCCGAGTGAGTCTCCGTCAAAACCAAATTGATATGCAAATGAGTATAGCCGAGACTACTTTCTTGATTACTTTGGTTCAGAATCATGTGTGTTCCACTGCTGGCGATCAAAATTCATTATTCACGCTTCCAAACATGAATCTGTGTTTTGAAAGGACTTAAGGGCAACAAGATCGCAACCGCCGTTTCGTATGCAGTTATAGGTTTATTTGTGTAATTGTAGTCACATGCACAGTGTGGAGATGAGATAGACCAAAGCCCATGTTCAGACCTTGCTGGCAATTCTCTTGCTTCTTGCTTAATCCAGGTTTACTGTGGAGTTTGTTAAGGTCAACAGTCACTGGAATAAGCACCCCATACTTATATACTGGGCTTGATCGGGTCAGACATTTAAGAACTGACTGGAAAGGTCCGTGCACTAATCTGTGGTACAACAAAACAATGCTTACATGGAGGACAATAACTCAGTAGCTTAAATGACCAGTGAGTTACAGTATACTCAATGTTCGGAAAATCAGTTGTGCGCGTTAAGCACAACAGTAGAAACTGGCTATTCTTGTAGAAGTCATCATTCCTATCTCCTCTAACGTTGTAGGGTACTGAGTGCGCGGAACACTGCTTTAGTCAAAGTGAAAAGCCTCATCCTACTATGAAGAACGCTTTTGAACACACCTACGTACAACAAAATTCCCCTGGTGTTGAATGTTTGACGAATGATTCCTATCAATCTACCCTACAAGGGGAAAATGCTATCCGGAGAACGAACTCGAAATTTCCCGAAGATGATTGCTTGCATGCTAACTGCAGTACTTATCGGACATAGGAGTTTATAATGAGTTCCATAATATCCTAATGCTTAATTACCGTTATACCGATTGTGTCTGTATCCCCGAGTTATTAGGCAGGTGCACGATTACTAAAGAGGCGAACGGAATTAGCTTTACATTTAGTTTGGTTTCAGTGCTGTACCAATGACGGAAATGGTCGTTTTCAATATGGTGGCATGAATGAACCGCAGCTAAGGTTGGAGGTTCATGGAAGCAAATGTTGCTGTAGGTTTTGCACAATGATTCACTTTGGTCTTGCTGTTTTTCTGCGCACCCAGCTTATATGGATTGAACAACCGGACTCCAGATTGAAATATTGATAACGGAAATGGGAAATTATTGGGTCATTTTGCAGACTCGGCGGCCATCTGATCAACCACCAGTATTGGTTCTCATGACTGATCACTAATACTAATAAGCTGTTGCTGTTCGGATGACCTGAATGCAGGTATGGTATTTTGTCTGAATAGCGTCGTATTTTAGACGACTCGATAACAACAAAGCACTGGGTTCGCACATTGACGGCATGTTCTAACAAAATGTGGTCAGATCCGGAAAAACTCACTCATGTGACACTTTTTATTTCCACTCTCCTGAGGAGCGCAGGTGGTTCGGGCACGTTATATTTGGTTAGAAATGTCAGGCTTTTGTTGCTATAACATCCGGTGAAAATCCTCTGTAGAATCTCAACTCTGATTCACTCATGGAGCAGTTTGAGGATGTGCTGTCATTTCTGTGAAACGATAATTGTTTCCTGATCTGGAACGGGTGTATCCAGGTAGTAGAGTGGACGCCCACCTCAAGAACCTCTGAGAACAAGGTAAGGCTACCGGTTCAGCACATACGAGGTCTCTTCTGCGGTGAAACACGGACGGAGTCATCATATATTATTGTTACTTCAATACTGTATACTTCACTTGGCCGTTAATGTGAAAAATCACTGATGAGATTATAAATGGACAGTCTTAGAACGTAAGGTGTCTTGCGCACAGACATATCAGTCTCAGCTCGACAGTAAGTCGTACGATAATACGAACTAACCAATAACGTGTGAAGGCTGGACTCAGTTTGTCGTATACAATCGAACGCTGTTTTAGAGGTCGATAGCTGACCGCTTATCGCTGTAAATGATCTTAATATCAACACTATCACATGTGTGGTTCTGCGACACTAATTACTCATTATGGTTGACAAAAATCGTCCTTTGACACACGAAGTTTTCTTTCGCTTTGTTACTGCTGAGGATAGGTGCGAACCCAAACACTATGCTCCTACTTTAACTGTTCGCCTCCTGTTTGGTAATGACCTCCACCACCATCCATTTACGACCTCATTAAGTGTAATCATCGTCATAAGTGTTCGTCAGGCTGAAACACCATTCCAGCTTATGGCTACCGTGCAACTCAAGGGAAGCAGGTTTGCTGTTTTATAGTTTTGTACCCCAACTGCTGAGCTATATCGGGCCATTTTAATGCAAGACTAGGAATAATCATGTCTGCTTAATTTGGCACACCGCTAACATTTGATCGAATCAAAGCACTCACACCAAAGATGGTCAAATTGGTTTCTTTTTCTGAGCTGTTATCGGATCGGAACCAAAGGACGCATTCTTGAAGCATAGGGCAACGGTGCCGCAATAGCAAATAGTGAGTTTAAGTCAACCTCTCCTTGAGCCGGCAAGTACGAGTTCTTCGACGCACAAGTATATTAGAGATAAATTTTTCCTCGTCACTAGTGGTAAGTGCAGGCTATTCTCGAGTTTGTGAAGGTATACCTATCCGTACCAGATTTGTTTCCCACCCGAGTGTCAGTATTATTCAATCAGTATGAAGTCTATACTCGTCCATGTAATCCCGTGTGGTTTTTATCAAAGCAGCTTAGCCCGACCTGCAATAGCAAATAGTGAGTTTAAGTCAACCTCTCCTTGAGCCGGCAAGTACGAGTTCTTCGACGCACAAGTATATTAGAGATAAATTTTTCCTCGTCACTAGTGGTAAGTGCAGGCTATTCTCGAGTTTGTGAAGGTATACCTATCCGTACCAGATTTGTTTCCCACCCGAGTGTCAGTATTATTCAATCAGTATGAAGTCTATACTCGTCCATGTAATCCCGTGTGGTTTTTATCAAAGCAGCTTAGCCCGACGTATTTTGATTAGTGATATCTAACTGGTTGTGTTCATTCAGTAAACTTCCGTATAGCTTTTCACATTCATTATTTCCACCGCACTGCGGAGCTTTCTTTTCACTTTGGCTTGAAGCGCACCGCTTTACATCCTCTGGTCAATTGTTTTATGTTAGCTTGTTCCTGACGTTTTTCGTTGTTTTTATGATTTATGTTTCAATACTGATACGGTATGCTGGACAAATATTTGCTCACGTATTGCTTCGTTTTGCCTCGGAGTTACTTAATTAGTGTCTAATCGCAAGATGTCAAGTCGCAGTTCTTTTGAATTGTTTCTCCAGTCTTAGATAAATGCACCGTTTCACGTGATTTCGCACATCTGTCGAGGAATTGACTGAGAGAATTTTTGGGCAATCGGCTGTGTATCCATTTTTGGATATCTCTGAGCGAATCTGGTTACTAGAAGAGTTTAGCACTATTGTTATTTACCGTGTCTTGGCATTTATCCGATCATCCGTGTGTTTACGTTTGTTTCACGTGAACAGCCGTTCCTACATAAGTTGGAACTAGAGATGGCTTACTGCTTAAGGCCAGAAATGACCAGCTGGTTCGTGGTTCAACCCTAATCGCGGCATTTCGACTGCTTCTATCTAGGTAACCTGGCAGTACATCAGCCCTCTTACTTCCCTCTGGTGGCATGACAGTTGGGCACTGAAAGGATGTTTAAGCTGACTGATTATTTTATATAAAAACAACTGTATTTGGCTTGGCGAATATCACTGGAATCAGGCTTTTTTGCCACGTGGTTTTTCCTACGAACACTAGGGGTGTATTTTGCATGAGTGCCCCTTTGTCTTCATCTTTGTTGGCAGCGACATCATAGGGAACACTGGTATCTTACTGCCATACAACCGCATCAATTTAGTTGAATTAGAGACGGTGACCTAGTGCCAGCCTAGTGCTAGCTAACACAAACATCTGTGCTGCCCTTATCTTCAACAGTCAGGTAATGTGGATACAAATTACACCATGGACTCCGCTGACACCATCTAGCCACCCTATAGTCCAGTATCCCCAACCAAGCACAGCGAGAGTCACATGGACCCTGTTTTGAAAGCGAACAACACCAAAAGCGTCCCAGCGTTTTGCAGCATCTTTCACTCCTTCGCGCAACGTCATATTTTGTCCACCTTTAGTTTTCTGTCCCCCCTAATTAGTCATGGAAATCAACGTTCTCCTCTGTAGCCAATAACCCTGCACACATAATAAATAGCTCAAGCATGTTAGGTTTCAGTACTGGATTCATTCCTTGACTAAAAACCTTTCTCATCAAAGACCCTGTTTTCTGATCACCTAAATGAGAATTTGCTGGCTTCAGCC